CACTTAGGGATAATGTTTCCAAGGTTTACCCAGTGTGAGCATATATCAGCATTTCATTCCTTTCTTCACTGCCAAGATAATATTCATTGCTGGAATATACTGCATTTTATTTACCCCAACCATCAGCTGATGAACATTTTGGTTGTTTCCACTGCTTGGCGTATTTGAATAATGGTGCCACAACCTTCCTGTACATTTTTTATGTGGACATAGGTTTCCCATTTTCTTGGGCATATACCAAAGAGAGCTTGCTGTGTTCATATAGTAACTCCATGTTTAATCTTCGTTGAGAACTGACAGTTTCCAAAAGTGGCTGTATCATTTTGCATCCCCACCCAGGAACATATGAGGGTCCAGGTTCTTCACACTCATGTCAATACTCATGATCTGTCTTTTTTATATGGCAATATTTGTTTTAAAATGGATGTCTTGATATTTTGTAATTACATTTAGATATCTATAACATTTTTTATGTTGTTTTACTGATGGTTTGCTTTATGATTTCTGAACTTTCCAATGAAAGAAAACAACTACTGAAGGTCCATACATATTTGTAGTATCAAAGACCCTAAACTGTCATTTTTGCTGCAGTTATTGCAGAGAAGTATTAGATTTTTTTCTTTTCTTTGAGACAGGGTCTTACTCTGTTGCCCAGGCTGGAGTACCAGTGGCTCATTGCCAGCCTCACCTCCTGGCGCTGGCTCAAGTGATCCTCCCACCTCAGCCTTCTGAGTACTAGGCTTACAGGCATGTGTCACCACAACTGGTTAATTTTTTTATTTTTTGTAGAGATGTGGTTTGCCATGTTGGTCAGGCTGGTCTGGAACTCCTGGGCTCAAGCAATTCCACCCTGCCTCACCCTCCCAAAGTGACAGGAGGTGTGAGCCACCATGCCCGGCACAGTAATTGCCATTTTCTTTATGACAAATTTATTTTCAGAGCTTAGAATCTAGATAAAACTTCTTCTCTAACTCTGTATATTCCTCTCTACAGAGGAAAGCAGTCATTGCTTTCTTTGCAACTGACTGTAGGACATAGCTTGAAAGGACTAAAACACTTTTCTTGCGGTTGGAAAATTCCTTTGGCTAAATTTAATGTTTCACTTTCATCTTTATCTTGTAGATATTTTTTGGACATACCCTTATATTAGTAAAAGCTAACCTCACATCGCCCTTCATAGTGGAGAAAGAGGCTATAAAGAAGTTAAGAGAAGATAACGACAAAATGGTAAGTACCCTTTACTCTGCGAAACAGCAATCTCCAAGCGCTTAGTAATTATAGTAAAGGCATAAAACCTGAGAGTATGAAAGAGCTTACGTTTACTCACACAGTCAGATAACTTATAACAGTGGCAAAACTGTACTTAGTAA